GACTGGGCCTGACTTCCTTCTTCCCATCCCGTTCTGTGTCGTGTACTTTTTCGGTGAACACCCAACCTGGAGCCAGAAAACTGCTTTGTGGTCTGTGGTGGCAGGAGGGCCCTGCTCGCGGCTTTGGGCAATTCCCTTGGCCTCTCAGGGCCTCAGTGTCTTACCTCTAAAATGGGTTTGCTGGAGGAGGTAGCCCTGAGCAGCAGGTGCCTAGGTGCATCGCGGACACGGGTGAGGCGTTCAGGAGCTGGGGGAGGGAATGGGCGCTCCAGGACGCTGCGGGGCTGGCCCACCCGGCCAGGAAGTGCCCGGGACACGGGCTTTCCGGCTACTCCTGTGTTGGTGGGTTGGTGGGTGGCCTGACGGATAAGCCATGCTGGCAACTGGGCGGCCCCACCTGGTGAACCGAGTCACTTTTGCGTTTAGGGTTCAGCAACCTCACGGACGCGTCGCGCTTCAGTTTTAGAAGTCAGACCGGCCCTCTGCAGCTTAGGATGGAGTGTCCTAATATTTAACAACACCTTTCAGACTTGAAAGTGCAACATGAAACTAAGTTGCTGGAGAACCGAACAGCCCGGGCCTGTCTTGGGGATGAAACAGGTTCCAGCCCTCAAGGTTAAGGACGGCCTGGAGAGATTTAGGATCTGAGAGAGCCCCGGCAGTTGCCTCCTTACACGAGGTGGGGCGGGAGGGAGGGGTCTCGGCTCTGTGCCTCCGAGGAGGGACTGGCTTTTCTCTTCACCACCTCCCTGCCCTTCCTTCACGGCTGCGCGGATCCCCTTCTGACTTTCCCGGCCGCCCGCCCAGCTCAGGCAGTTCCTGGAGAAATCCAAGAAGGCGATGCTGGGGTATACCACAGACGCTCAGGGAGCACCTGCTGTAGGCAGGGTCCTGTGCTACCTTGTTGAATCCTCACCGCTGGTCTGTGAGTTAGACACCTCTCTCCCGTTTTACAGAGAGGAAAGCTGAGGCTCAAGAGAGGCAAAGCAGGGCACACGATTGGGGGCGAGGCCGGCGCTTCAGGCTGGGTACCGGCCGGGAGGCTGGATATCAGCGGGCAACACAGCCTGCCCGCGAGGGCCTAGTAGTTATCTATGGCGGTAAGCGTGCAGGTGCCATTCGAGGCTCCTCGCGTCTACGCGCAAACACGACCCCCAGCCTTGTGATTTGGCCTTGTGACTTAGGTCCTGTTAACATCCCCATGTGACAGACGGGGAAACAGGTCCTCATCTAAAGGGAAACGAGTTCACAATAGTTTCAGGGCTTTTTCAGCTTCCTAGAAAAAAAAAATTTTTTTTTTTTTTTTTAAATTGCATCCTCCCAACACAAACCCATTCCCCTTATAAAACCTGGAACAGAACGGCTAAGAATAAAGGCCCCTCTGATCACATTCCCCAGAGGGGGCCCCTTATCTTTGTGAGTCATTTTTTTTTGTTTTGTTTTGTTTTGTTTTTTTTCTTTCAACGTTTATTTATTTTTGGGACAGAGCGAGACAGAGCATGAACGGGGGAGGGGCAGAGAGAGAGGGAGACGCAGAATCGGAAACAGGCTCCAGGCTCTGAGCCATCAGCCCAGAGCCCGACGCGGGGCTGGAACTCACGGACCGCGAGATCGTGACCTGGCTGAAGTCGGACGCTTAACCGACTACGCCACCCAGGCGCCCCTGTGAGTCATTTTTTAAAGAAGCTACGCTAACATATGTACAGTGACCTGAAGTGACCCCAAAGCCCCCGGGAGCCGCACTCCGCCCCTTGTGGCTTCGATCTTGTGCACACAGCACGGCTGCAGAGGAAAAGGGCTGGGGGTGGGGGTGGGGTGGGGGAGGTGGCAATAGGGAAGCAATGTGTGTGCCATGTGGCTTCCCTGGCGGTGCAGATTCTGTGTCTCTCTCAAACCTCAGCTTCATGATTCAGCAGCACTGACGTCAATTTACAAGAATGAAAAGTGATAGGAGGGACTGTGTGGGGCGGGGGCCGGGTGGGGGGGCCCAGGTGCGGCCGGGAGGGGGTGAGCTGGGCACCATGGCGCACACGGAACACAGGCAAGCATCAGCTCCGGAGAGTGGCAGGGCACGGGCCTTGGACCTGCGGCAAAGCCACCCCTGGGCCGGGGACTCTGGTCCCCGTTTTCGAGATGAGGAAATGGAGGCTCAGAGAAGTACAGTCACTTACTCAGGGTCACACAGCTCGAAAGTGATAGCCAAGACTGGCACCAGGTCCGTCCCACTCTAAAGGCAGTCGGGTTCTTACAGAGGGGAGGAGGGAATATTCATGGGCCTCATCGCCACCTGCGTGGTCCTCCCACCCTCATGAGCAGACAGGTTACTGCCCCACAGACAGGAGGGCTGAGCCTCTCGCTGGGGTCAAGACTGCGCAGAAGCTGGCAATGTCTCCGAATGACGCAGTGCTCACTACGTGATCGCTGAGCTCCGCACATCGCACGTTCCCAAAGCCCCTACTATGTTCCAGGCGTTACTGTGAGCCCGAAGGATACAGGAATGAACGGTTCCTGCTCCCCTAGCGTTCACGTCCAGGCGTCCAGAGCCTCAGGTGGTAAATAGCAACACAAGAAACGAAAGGAACAAGAACATTCCAAGCAGTGACAGTACTCAGATTAGAGGTCAACAAGGTGGTTGGCCAATGAGTGGGACTATGCTAGAAAGAGAGCTCAGGAAGGCTCCTATGAGGGGACACTGAAATCCTGCCTGGAATGACAGGAGGAGGTAGCCCAGAGGCCACAGTGCAGGCAGAGGGAACCGCGGGGCCATCTCAGGAAACCAGTTCAGCCCGTCAGAGAGCAAGGGCTGGCCAAGCTGGAGGGGACGGGATGGGGTCACGTGCAGGAGATGAGATGGAACAGGTGGGCAGGGGCCCTACAGGCCATGGTGAGGACGGGGGGAGCCCGGGTGACCTGATGGAGTCTGTGTTGTGACCAGACTCTGACTGCCAGGTAGCGACAGACTAAGGCAGGGAGGGAGGCCTGGGGAGATCACTTCAGGCTTCTTGCCTTATGATGTGTGTACTCAGGAGGGGGTGGGATGGGGGAGCAGCTTATTCTTTTTTTCCTTGTTAATGTTTTATTTATTTTTGAGAGCGAGAGAGACAGAGCATGAGCGGGGGAGGGGCAGAGAGAGAGGGAGACACAGAATCCCAAGCAGGCTCCAGGCTCCGAGCTGTCGGCACAGAGCCCGATACGGGCTCGAACCCACGAACCTTGAGGTCATGACCTGAGCCGAAGTGGGACACTTAACCGACTGAGCCACCCAGGCGCCCCAGGAGTGGCTTGTTTTTTAACCAGAGCCCTCAGCTCTGGGCAGCCAGGCAAGGCAGGGACAGCCGCAGGACGGGCCTGGCTGAATGCTGAGGGTGGCCCAGGCCTGGAGTGACAAGCCCCAGACAGGCCTCAGTCGGAAACCCCAAGCCTGGGTCTGGCCCCCCAGGCTCCAGTGAGGGGCTTCCCGGAGCACGACCGGTACAGGGCAGGGGCAGAGCCGGCCTCAACGCTGGGGAAGGGGTGCAGAGCACCCAGAGGAGGTGGTGAGGCGCCTGACGCGGCCGACGTGGCCCGTGTTCCCTGCAGGCAGGCTTTGGAGCCCCGTCACCTGGGCAGCCCTCACCTGGCCTCCGCCACCATCATCCAGAGACTCCCCGGGGCTCAACATGGACTTGGCCCGATTCTGGGCGGAGGGGGCGGGGCTCAAGGTCCCGCAGAGAGTGCAGTTTTCAACCAAGCAAATTCACACAGGGGCAGCGGTGGCCGAGGCGGGCGCTCAAACCGCCCCTCCCAACCGTGGTCTTGGCCCTGAGACCCGGCTGGCAGACGACCTCATGGGCAATTCGGATTCCGGCTCTCCCCTGAGCGTTCCCCACAGTACCAACTACCCCCCCACCCACCCCCGGCACGCACACTCACAGGCCCCGTGTGGGGTCGCCCCGCCAAGCCGCTGTCCTCCCATACTCCCGCTGTGCTCAGGAGGACGCCCCCTGCCCACAAGGACGCCCCCTGCCCACAAGGCCTCGCGAGGCCTGCAGGTGGCCCACGTGCCTGGCCGCCGCACTCACCGCTCCCTTCTGCCCCCGGGGACTTCACACACGCCGGGCCGCGCTCCTGGGACGTCGTGGGTGGTTTGCCGGCCTGGGCACCGTCTCCCGCGCCCGAGAACCCCGAGGGGCTCCCGCGCTCCCGAGCAGCCACGAGCAGCCACGTGCTGCGCGCCCGTGACGTCACCGCTCCGCGTCACCGTCACCTGCAGGCAATGGACGGGGCCGGCAGGCCGGGCTCTGTGGGCGGTGCTCTTCGCCTCCGCTTGGTCCTAACGCCGCCAGGTGCGGGCTGCGGGCGGGCCGTCTTGGGGCTCCCAGGGCTGTGACAGTACCCCTGAGGCCCGCAAGGTCTGGTTATGCCAGATCC